TTCTCAGTATAAGTGTATGTCCACACACTGGAAGATGTTAAAGTAACAAATATCCAAATATATACAAGTGAAGCGAGATTTATGTTTCTCAAAAAATGACCCTGGTATAAATAATTATGAACTTAGACGATTCTGATGTTCTGTAAATTTTCTCAAAAAATTGTCACATAAACTGAAAGATTTACGATACGAACTAATTAGTGAGAAGAAAAACACATTTTTTTGTCACTTCTCCGAAGAAGGCGCTCATTGCTCATTCATTATAATTAATGTATATACGGATTATGGTATATACGATTTATGTACTTAATGAATTATTAATGTACTTAATGATGTTGTTGTTAATAATAATAAGATAATAATAATAATATGACTGGGAATGACAATGATATGGGTAATGATGAATAATGATGACTAATGATAAGCGCTCTCGTTTGTAACATTGACCCGAATATTTAGCCAGTTCGACAACACTATCAATTGCACTCACGAGTATATACGACAAAATTGTGTCGTCTGCAAATGTGGTTTTAAAGTACTACTCATTTTTTTATTCTATCACCATTATTGAATAAGTCAAAGATATCCGAGTTTTCCATTTCTTGAAAATAGATACTCGTTACGTTTATTTTGTCTACATTGAGATTTTTTCGCGTGACATGCTCATATTTTCCGTAAAAATCACCATTTTCTGGTGCCAACCTTTCAAACACGGTTCGTGTGATTTCGTTGCGGAGTGGAAATTGTATACGTTTTGAAGTTCTTCTTTACACCAATATAAGACACAAAGCTCTAGCCAAAGGAATATTTGAGATTTCAGGTGGCATTTGTCGTTTTTTGGACCGGCGATTTGTTCTTTCGCTATATAAAATTTACTACTTTCGTAAAATTAAACCATTTTCTGGTACCAACCGTGGAAACACCATTTATGTGATTTCCCTGGCGATTTTTTCTTCCCCCTATATAAAATGAACTGTTCTTTCGTAAAAGTTACCATTTTCTGGTGCAAACTTAGAAACACCACTTGTGTGATTCCTTTTGGATGAGAAGTTGCATTGGAGCACAAATAAACAGAATTGTTTTGTATCACAATTAAAACAGGAGAAAAAATCCGTGTCCCTTATATGAAAATCAGGAACGTTTATACACTGAACAAAAGTTCAAAACCGATCACCCTGAGTTTTCGCTTATACATGAAAAAGAATATACTAATAGATCCGACTTTTATTTTATTTGGAAGAGAATGAACACATTGAGAATAATAACATTATAACATTTTCTATTTAAATAATACTTTATTTATATTTTTTAAAATATATATTTTTATGACCAGCCACTCACCTGTCTGATTGAGGCTCCAGCATTCAACATTCCAACTGCTACGGCACGATCCTGCATCGACATTCGTGCCATGTTTTGTTTTTTGTCACTTATAAATATATTAGCTAAACTTAGATTATCATCTCACAATTTATTAATAGAAACAGGTAGACACAATAATATTGATAGAAATGACCGGAAATGTACTATTTGCAACAATAATGACATCGAAGATGAATATCACTTTGTATTGATTTGTACTTTGTATGATTCTCTTAGGAAACAGTATATATATATCCAACTATTTTACAAGAAACCCTAGCATGTTTAAATTTTTAGAATTGCTGAATTCAGAAAGGAAGTCAGTGTTAACAAAATTAGCTATATATTGTAATAAAGCTTTTTAAATTGAGATTTGATTCATTGAATGCCGGATAATGTTATATAAGACCACCTTGTTGTATTGTATAAAGTTATATAAGGATTGTAAATAGTACATGTGTTGTATTACACTCTCACTAGTTTATTTCATTTATTGATATACGTTTACCATTTTTCATATTCATGCATGTATATATTTGTTGTATATGAAGATGAGCTGTATATGCTTAATTCAAAATAAAATATATGTTCTGTTCTGTTCTGTTCTGTATAAAGTTAACAAGGATTTGTGCAATGTAAAATTAAATACTCACCACGCTCTGCACGAACATTTCGTGCCAAAATGTGTAAACCGCGCCCTGTCTCCCGCGCGAGTACATGAAACCGTATTAAATTATTTTTCTTTCCACAAATCGATAGAAAATGACACAAAAATCACCTCTGCAAAATTTTATAAGGATCTATTGACCCGTTATAAAAAATCAAAATTTAAAAAGTGATCGGTTAGAACTTTTGTTAAGTGTACTGTGCTATTTTATGAAATAAGAAAGGCAGCCCCGTTTCAATGAACTTTTTTTTCATTAATTTGTTCAATTCTTTATACAAACGAATATCCTACTGTATAACAATAAGACAAGGTTTGTTAAAAAAGAGAAAACATAACAATTATAATATATACATAAAAGTAAGATAATTATCAAAACAACATCAAATGTACATATTCAAACAACAAACACACGTCACTCTCAGATAAAAACCTGCATATGATACCTTAAACTTTTAACATAATTTATATATGTCACTAATTTCACAATGTTTTTTTGTTTTTTTTTTTTAAAGAGTCCGGTTTCACTGTAGAAAAGTATTTCACATTAACAATTGTCAAGATAAATATTGAAAATATTAAAAAGACGTGTGTGTGAAAATTTTAATTAAAAGAATAGATAAATAATAAAACCGGGTTTATTATAATTATATACGACCCTCGTATTAGTAGAACATGAAAGATAAAGTTTTCCTTTTTGTATGTTGTGCTTTATTAACAAAATATAAAGATGTTTGTCATGTTAACTTAGGATGACGAGGTGTAATATTAATTTGATAAATTAAATAAATTTTGATTTAAAAAAAGATTAAAAACAAGAATAAAGCCAATATTAAATTAATATATTAAATTAATTAAATACTTCTTGTGAATTAACACAAGACCAGAACCCCAGATCGCGCAACCCCGAAAATCACGGTGGGTATGGTCCGTCATCCCGGGATGGCACGAAAGGTGTCCAAACCTTGAGCCACCTATGTGGTGTTAGACTAACACGGATTACGGCGAATGACACACCCAGCCGACTGTCTCGAAACCCGAGAAAAACAGCAGACCCGGTGTATCACCACCGAGCCCATTCTGACAAAACATGACTATAAGGTGGAAATATAAACTGTGTTATTTTGAAAATGATGAAAACTTTATCCTAATATGAAACGTTAATTATAAAACAAACGATCCCAAAGCCACCATCGATACATGAATCAAAACCACATACCTGAAAATATAAAGAAAATATTGGTAGAAAAATTGTATTCTGAATGAAAAATAAAACAATGAAAGGTGTGCGCATAGGGTTGTAGAGTTTTGCACTTCACTCTCTCCAAATATATTCTGATGAGTGAAGAAAATAAATACATAAAAGTAGAATGGTCGAGCTTCGGTGTTCATTTTGGAACACATTTAATAGAAACTTTATTGAGGGGTTCGGAGCTCCACATCCCAAGTGTCTGTGAAAATTAGCACACAACATCTGTACCGGAAATCGCACATCTTAATAGAAGCTAAAGGTGTGCGTTTAGTGGACGTGGCTGCGTTTTACGTCGCACCATTACAGTAGAGGTCATAAGTGTGGCCACTTTCCGGGTTAACTGGTGAAGGAAGACCTCACGTGTCCACCCGAGCGTTATTTTTGGCACGAACGGGCACCTGAGTAGAACCTCCGATGTTCTGTAAGATAGCGACCCACGCCCACTTATCTGTGGCCGAGTGAATAAGGTCTCTGACTTCAAACCACTTGCCTTTAACAGCGTTTGGCTTGAATCCCACCAGGAACTTTGAATTCTTTCACGTAAAGAAGCTATCCAGCTAGCTCACGGAACGTCGGTGGTTCTACTCAGGTGGCCGTTCGTGCCTGTTGGTGCGACTTTAAACCCAAACAAAAATATTAACATATCTTACCATGAAATGTTTTAGTCATTTTGTATTTTGTTACAGCATGGTTTTATAATTACCGTAACCGCTTTGTCGTCGTTAACAGACGACAAAAGTGAATTTGCGTTAACTGAGATAAGAAGCTCGAGAAAGAATCATTTCATTGACGGTTTTAAATCTTCTGTATTCATCCAAATTGCACACAGCAGTTACTTCCCTTAGAGTCTAGGGTGCAGACGAATGTACGTGGGGGAGATTACTGCGATGAGATTGAAGTTTGTATCTGGTGTACCATCCCAAAATATCAATAATCAATTCATATTTTTCTTTTGTGCAGTTATTTGAGATCGGGAATCTTGAATTTTGGTAACTAGTCATAGATCTAATTGGTCGGTCGTTGAATTTTATTGCAGAAACACTTACCAACACTACAAACATGGATAAAATGTCTTCGTTTGATCAATACAAAATTAATTTGAATGATTTTAGTCTCTTAAGTTATAGAGTAAAAAAGTTATTTATCTACGCCTGAGACCCAGAAAATGAAGTAATATTGCATGAAAAGTCATGAAAACAACAACAACAAAAATAAATAAATTAATTAATAAAATAAATAAACAAACAACAACAAAAAAAAACGCAAACTTTTAGAAATATTACGTTTTTCAAAATAAATGAACACTTTGCCTATTTGACAATGTCTAGCAATATCTAGATAGATTGTCTCTCTTTTATTTGCCTGTAGATTTAAATGGAAAAAAAACTTTAATTTGTGGGTATCCAATAATTTGAAATGAAAAAAAAAGTTTGCCATTCATTAATCCCAAAGTCTATTTAAAATTAAATTTATAGATCAAGATATTTGAAACAAGAAGATTTGATATATACATAGATTTAGATCTACATTTGAAATATTTTACAATCGATTTTTAAAAACCTTTTGTACATAGCGAAAATATTTAATACCTTTCTACTGATCTGTTATTTTATTTCAATTACATTACATTCATTTCTATACAACAAAATATCGTATTTGAAAAATAGAAGGCAAGATTAAATAACTAATCTATCCACCGCGACTATTATATCGTTAAGTCACTCGTATTAATCACCTACAGACTATCTCTATATGCCTGAACATTGCGTCCCTAGTTACCACCGTTATTAAACGCTTCGGCTAAAACGGGTAGTTCGGATAGACACTAGTGTAAACTTTTCAGCCCCTGTGTCTTATCAAATTGAACGGACAATTCTTTTTCATTAATACTAGCGTAAGGATTTTACTCAAAGGTAAGAGATGATTTTATTTATTCCCTAAACACCACCTTATCCATTTTACTCAATTGTTATCCTGATAAAAGGACCCATCAGATTCTATTTATTTGCCAATTTCATTCCAATTTTGATTATGATCTGGATTTAATTCCTATCCATTTGAATGCATCGCCGTGAATTGATCAAATAATTCTATATATTTTGTTTAAGTAAACATAATTCTGTATTACTTAAATAAACTGAACAAATGGTTTTAGTAGTTATAAATCTAGTTTAATTATAAACGAATGTACGCGAAATAAAACAAACCTCGAGAATTATTTTAATTAAGGAGCTTTAGTTAATTGAAGGAAGGAGAGAAACGTTTAATATAGATAGTACCAAATTAACTATAATTATATGTGAAATTATAAATAAGTCGTTTTTTATAGTAACATACACTATTGTTTTAATATTTGTGTTACGTAACATAGGCCCAAAAACTTATTTTGGATTTGCATACAATTTTCATTATATATATGAAACATGCGGTTAACGAATTTTATATAAATAGTTGAATATTATAAAAAAAAAATTTGGCAATTGGTTGGTTATAGATAGTTTGTAAAAAATCAAGTTAGTCTATATAGCACACTTCTTAGTGATATATCAAATATATTTAACATGTTTGTTAATCTCTCAAGCTAGAATACCTTGTGTATTAGGGGTATACATACGCTCTATTGTTATACATGTAGTAAATGCAAGATAATGGTCGTATAAGCTATTATTGGTAGTACAAAAGATTTCAGATTATCTTATTGATAATGGTATTTTTAATCACAGGTGGGATATCGGTTAACTTTTAGCAATACACATTTTAAATTAATGTTATACTGTTCAAATTATGTTATGTTTATAGCTACATTTTGTATTTGCAAACCATTTTACAGACTCCGAAAATCATTCGAAGCATTTGCGATATTGCATATCCTGTAAACTTTATTTAAAGGCCCATTATTAAAGGCCCATGCTATGATTTTTATTTCTCAAAAACTGTTTATTTTTGGTATATTGTTACAGTTTCCTCAAACATACTCATTTATCTTATACATGAACTATCTTCTGCATCTTTAGTTCTGTTGGCAATAGGTGTAATAATAGTGAATTAGTATTTTGTACGGAAGTCAAAATACTACATTGTACTTTGTTTTACATTTTGCTACCTTTACGACACATAACTGCATGTTCAGTTTCAGCTGTAAAACATCTAACACGCTCTTAATCCATTATTTTAAACATCATTAAACACATGTTTGATATTTCTAAAGTATTAAACAAATATGTTTTTTTCTGTGGCATAATGTGCCTGTAAGGGCAACCGGACATAATGTCGCGAACCTTCGTGTTCCATATATACAAAATACCGCAAGTGATTTCACCTCTTAGCTAACTGTTAATCCAAAGAGCCTAGACTCAAACCAACAGGTATAGATTTGAAAAACTGTCACATAAATGTCAGATATCTGTAGAAAATCGAAACATTGCTACAAATATTAGTATAAATCCTTGATAACGTACATAAACAGTCCACAAATAAGCACTTATAACATATATACTTTAAAGGTACCCTTAAACCGGATCAACATAAAGTACCAAAGAATACTTAGCATTAATGTTTTGTTGTTGTTGTTGGTGGTGGTGGTGGTGTTTTTTTTGTTTGTTTTTTTTCTTTGTTTTTTAAGAAACTTATAAATACTAGTGATGAAATCATTTTCCTATACCATCAATATAGATTATAGAGTCAGGCTAGCCTGGAAATGCACGCAGTCTGGCCTGGCTATACATTGTCGTCTGCCTCATTTAACTTTAAAATCGCTTAAATTAACAACGCGGATTTCAAAAGTTCAAAGCAGGACACATTCATTTGGTAAGAGTTAAAAACAACTTTTTCTTAAATAAAAAAATATATATGCACAATGATTTTAGATACGAAAAAAATATTGCATTTACTATATATAGCAATGTATAATCGATGAAAAACAATGAAATGTAAAGAAATATAAGTTTATATAAACACACATGGTGTTTATATAGCTTTGACTTATCATATCAGGGCTTATCTTAATCTGTATACATTCACGTTAATCATGAAAATTGAGCCGCGTCACGACAAAACCAACATAATGGGTTTGCGACCAGCATGGATCCAGACCAGCCTGCGCATCCGCGCAGTCTGATCAGGATCCATGCTGTTCGCTATCAGTTTCTCTACTTAAAATAGGGTTGGTAAGCGAACAGTATGGATCCTAATCAGACTGCGCGGATGCGCAGGCTGGTCTGGATCCATGCTGGTCGCAAACCCATTATGTTGGTTTTGTCATGACACGGCTCAAATCAAAATTCCAAAATGATTTTTTCGTTGTCGGCACGCTTTAGGTAAACAGAAGTACAGAAATACCTAGATAAAGCCCTTTTTCGATTTTTATATAGAAACGTGTGTGGTTGCCAGCAGATGATTGATTTGATGAAAGCCTTGCGTGTGAGGCACTTGTTTTGAGGATTGCATATACTTCAATACCTGTGAAAAGAAAACATTCTATGACAACTGTAAATTAGAAAATGTTTATGAATGATATCATACAAGGCTGTTAATTAAATCATTAAATCAAAGTTTGCTTGCTTTTCATGAGCCCTCATTGATAAAGTTAGCAAGGCTTTATTAAGAAATAGAAAAAAAGCAATGCACGAAAGGGTATGGAAAATAATGACATATTTTTCCCAGTTCATACGTTTAAATGCAGGTAGTTGCATATCTCATATTTTATTACTGTTATGGCCACAGAGAGAGGTTGCATACTGGTTAAGAAGTTTGTCTGTACACCGGGGGATTGTGGGTCCGGTCTTTGCTCGGGTCATTACCATATGTTTCTGAATGTAACACAAGTACTCATTAGTTCTAGGTAGCGAAGTGGAAGTTGTCCCAAATAAGCTACAAGCTGCTTAAATTTATTTAAAAAAGACTTACTAAATGTTTCTATCTTTAATGTTCTCTTGATTCGTGCGTTAAGAGCTGACATCATGTTACATCAGCTTGACGAATTCATATACTGTTGACAGGCCTCTCGCCACTAAGGGTTGGATTGTGAGGAAACTGTGAAAACTATGTTGTATTCTACTCAAGGGTTCGTTCGTGTCTGAAATAACGCACAGAGGGGTTTCTGTGGTGTTAATTCACCAGAAAAGCTGGAATCCCTTTACGGTATTTCTTAAAACTAAACCAAGAACATCTAATAGTGCGCCAATTACATACAAATATCTGGCGCATTATTAATATTAATACTCCTTAACTACATTAATACTTTAAATGGTCTAAAAACGTTCTTTTTCATATGCATGTTAACAAGTTATTATTTTAATGTTTGCTCGTTCTCTCTATGGCTTAACCTTACCGTGAACTGGCACCACCCCAAATTCTATCATAACATAATCCTTCTAAAAGGACACTAAGCTTCCGTTTTTAAAGCGGCATATACGGAAATGTCACAAAAATGTTGGTCGCTTGTGCAAATTTGATTTTCGGTTTAAGATTTTAAACCCATTGTAAGAAACGTTTGTTTGATGTTAAACATGTTAACGGGTAAGAAAAGGTATACGTAGTTAATGGCAAATTACACCTGTGGACTTTGTAACGTTTATTAAATAAATACTTATATAATTATTTATTCCAAAATAAACACTGCCGATTCTTTAAGAATTACTACCTTATTTACCTACGGGCCGATTCTGCACATTCATGGTATTGCAAACTATTTCCGCGTTAGAAAATTAGAAAAAAAAAATGAAAAAAATAAAAAAATAGGACAATACAATTTTATCGTAATTGTCAATAAGGTCACAATTTAGGTCATATGACAGCATTTCGGGACGGCATATCTGATAGCATAACCCCAAATAAAATATCCTTCAGTATTTAGGGCTCAAGTACAACCGTGTTGTCAAATACATATTTCTATCGTAAAGGCAATATCCAATAGAAAAGCCATTTACATGGAAACATTTTACTGGACCTATCAATATACAAACTTGATTTTTTTCATCAGATATTTGGCATATATATATATCTGGCTGTATAGTCTGTATTTATATTAGAATCACTTTCTAAAGATTCACAGATAATTTCTTAATACTTAATAAATCTTACTTAAGAAATATTTTTGACCGCCTCAAAACCTAACTATAGATTCAGTAATTAGTAAATATCAGTTGTTATTTGTGTGTTTATATCCTCTTTAAATAAGAACTTATTTTGATATCACGATACATTTGTATATAATAAAATTAAAAAGATATACTATGCTCATCTTAAGGTAAAATACTTTTGTATTGGAAATTGTATTGGAATCTTGGAAATTCATAATGAATCTGTTTAATCTGAATCTCTTCAGAGAATACGCTATGTTTGAGAAGCAGTATTCTCTATTACTGGTCAAGTTGGTTTAGTCATTTGAGCCGCGTCATGACAAAAACCAACATAATGCGTTTGCGACCAGCATGGATCCAGACCAGCCTGCGCATCCGCGCAGTCTGATCAGGATCCATGCTGTTCGCTTACCAACTCTTTTACAAGTATAGAAACTGATAGCGAACAGCATGGATCCTGATCAGACGGCGCGGATGAGCAGGCTGGTCTGCATCCATATGCTGGTCGCAAACCCATTATGTTGGTTTTGTCGTGACGCGGCTCATATGTATCTATACTGTGTTTCGTTTTACGAATGCACGCATAATTTCACTTTAATGTATTTTGCTACAAATTCAGTGGGGTCTTTTCAGCAATTATGCTAATTTTTCACCTTCGAATGTGTTTCAATATTGATACAAATTAATGCACTGTCGAGGCTAATAAACTATATAACGTATGAACTAAAGGGCTATTGTCGTAATTGATACGGGTTGATGGCATGCAATAAGTCCTAAGTGGTGTGTTATAAATTATTCAAGGAAAATCAGGAAAAAATTATATGCTATACAAA